TCATAAAAGAAGATATGGTCATATAGATAATTTCTAATAATAAAGCCAACGCCTTGGCAGTTTTGTGATGGATTATTTGAAGAAAATAGGAAATATATGGTTTTGATTGAAGATTTTGTGAGTAATAAAAAGCTTGCAATTTATTAAAATGAGTTTCTGAGAGACCTAAAATATCTATGTTGTAATTAGTAAAAAATTGTTTAATTTGTGTTAATTTGACATTTAACGTGCAGCTTCTAACGTTATGTGTGGCGAATGAAAAAAATTTGGGATCATTGCATTGCGTTTGAAAATTATCGTTTGTAAATCTATTCTTATTAAATTGATGCTTTTAGATATCATTAGTATTAATTGTATTTTGTACTATCATTAAATAGAATTCGTTAATGTTTGAAGAATAGGAATAATAATGGAAATTTAATTACGCATTTCATTCTTAATCTCATTGACGGATGATTCTATTAGACCTATACGTTGTAAATTTTCAGTTTGAAATGGTGAAGAGGTATTTTGAATTTGGTTAGAGGTATTCGTTTGTGAAAGTTGTGGTTCAGGAGTTTGTTCAACAATGGGCATTAGAAAATCGTCATGCGATAGGAACTCATAGTTTGGATCAGTAATATGATTTGAGTCATATTCAATGTTATGCATGACTTCAAGCTGGTTCAGATGGAAACTGACATCATTTAAATCATCAGCATGGATCGTAAGGTCAGATTTGATAGCCTTAATTTCATCATCGATTGCAAGGAGTTTGATATCAAAAGAATCAAGTCATTCTTGTACCAATTTGAGAGCATCAAATATGTTTTGCGATGTCTTGGGAGGGTCCTTGATGATGAGTTGTTTTTGGTTATTGGTGATGTTTGCGAACGATGGGTTATTAGGATTGTTTTTGTTGAAAGTACGTGGTGGTCGGTATGGTTCAGGTTTGAAACAGTCATACAATGGTTTGTATGAGTTGGCAGGTTTTCGATTCATGTATTCTTTAAATTCATGTCCGGGCGTACCACAGCTGCGATAGTGTTTAGTTAAAGGGTCCATCCAGAATAGCTATTTTCCCTTAAATTGTTGTGACTGCACCGCCGCAGCATCTAGGTCATCAAGAGAAGCAAAATTGATGAAAGCATAAGGGCGAAAACGATATTGTTGATCTCTGGGGATGAAGCAGGATTTAGATTTGATATGTGCAAGAAAATCCTGCAATTGCGGTTGATTAGTATTGAGAGGAAGGCCTGTTAATTTTAATTCGAATTGTTAGCGTGCGAAATTTGTATAGGGTCTAAATCAGTTGGTTCAACACGTAAGGCATTTTCTAGGAATTGGATAGACCAATGCTCATCGTAAAAGGTTTGATAATTTCGGCATTTTCAAAAACAATAAAGGCAATTTGCCAAGGATCACGAATGATCATAAAGAAGCGAGTAATCTTACCATATTTAGCAAAGTAGTTTCATAACACATCAGATTTAACAAACAAAGGGATATCTGAGATCTTTAGGGTCCTTCCTTTTTCAGCATCTTGTTTGATCGTCTTTTGGGCTGGGTCCACAATCGTGAAGATTGGATTATGTTGTGATTCTTGAGTATCCTTGATTGCATACAGGAGTTTATCCATCGTACGAAAGTAAACAAAGAATTTTCTCATTTTAGAAATATAGTTGGATCCTTGATAGCCGTTATAGCGGATGAATAATGAGTTGATATTTGTACGTTTTTCTGCAATAGAATTGCCTTTTATATCAGACGTGTTGTCAGTCACATAAAAACGCATAGGAGCAGTAATAATATTGTAGGTAGCTCCTTGATTTTCTTGTTCACGTGATTCGTTTTCAGAAACTTCGTCATCATAAGAGTGTTTAGCTTTTTCTTTTTCTTTTCCAGAAAGTTCGTAATCAAATCTTGTGTCTTTGAACATGTCGTGAGTATTATCTTTGGCGTGCATAGAATCATTGGAAGTAAGTACTGTTAAAATAGGAGTAAGTTATTCAGTGGGAATATTAGTTGAGTTAATGTCCATGTCAGCTAGTTTGCTAGTTTCAGTATCGTCTATAGGTTGTGAGTTTATTAAAGGAGTTGGGATAGTAGTTTCAGGAGTCTATTTATTAATGATATTTTGTACTGGGGTATTGTCAGTTTGATCGTTTGAAATAGTAGTAGTTTTTTGTTTTTTGATAGAAGTGTTTTCAGTTGTATTTATATTTTTGGAACCGGAAGCTTCACTGTTGTTGTAGTTTGTTCTTTTATTAGTTTGTTGTTTTCGTTTGTGTTGTTTGTTGGCAGAAGTAGCTCTAGTAACTGGCATTTTTATTTCCGTTATTGATCTTTTTTAAGAAATTGGGAGATCGTAAGAAAGAGTTTTTTTACAAACCAATTTTACTACTATCTTAGGAAATTAATTTATGCCAATCATTTCATTACTTAATTTATGCATTAATTTGATGATCAATTTTGTAGTACTAATTTGATTGACTGTAGATCATTTGTAGATCAATTTTGCAGGTCTAATTTCAAGGGTAATAATAGAATATACAAACAAGCATTAAATTCCTTATCTTCAGCATGATCAAATTTAACGGAAGAAAATTCTCATCTTTGAGAGATAATCTTAAAAAATGATAATGAAATAATAGATCTCTTTAATCCCCTATACCTACCTATAAACAATTTATCACAAAAGCTACCAGATTGGGTCAGTAATGATTTAAGACCCCTTGTCTATGAATGTGGTCTTGAAGATAAAGTTATGGAACTCAATAAAAGTTTTGCAAGAAAAAATATATTAGAGGTTTTGCAAGAGCTATTATCCTAGGATGAGATGGTTTCGAGAAGCCAGACAGGTACCCTACCCAATCAATCTGTTTATAGTTGACTAGCATATTCTGAAATTATATTTTGAGTAAAGGGGTTGTGAAGCAATTAGATGGTGCAGAAGTAATGCTATCAGTCCAAGTAATGCCTCTAATACCAGCTATTCCTATTATTGTAAACTTCTTAATGTCACCATTGATAACATATATCATACTTACTTTACTACTTCTTGCAATTATATGAATTATTGGGAAAAAAATATGGGATTCATGAAGCAATCAGCTAAAAGAAAAAAGTAATACCCCTTCTAACCAGAACTATTTTTTATCGTCTCTAGATATTTCTGATGCTAGGCTGTATGATCAGAGGTCAGAAGTTTGGAGTGATTGTTCTAGACCAGAAGTTTGAAGATAGAAATTAAAGTTAGTTGGTATTATTACATAAGAAAAAATTATGTAAATAATGTTATGAGTTCTCTTAACTGAAATTACTACTCATACATCGCTAAGAGTACTTAACAATATAGTTCAATAATTTTATCTATATCAGCTTCAAATGAATCATCTTTTTTATCATCCTGTAATCTTGATAATGTTTGATAGCGTGTAATTTCTAGACCAACTACTTTGTACTATATATTTCATAAATCAGCTAGTAATTTGCACTCATCTGAATAATATAATAAATATTGTTCTATGATCATAGCTTTTGATTTATGCTTATTTCCACCTTTGGCATTCTTAATAACTAATTTATACATTTCTTTTTTATATCCTATATCGATCTTAGAAATTTCTTTAAGTACTGATAAAAGCTTTAAGTAAAAGAAGTCCTCTTACTTATCTAGCATATTGAGGTAAGATTTATAATAGGCATTGTTAACTGGGTGTTTTTCTACCTTGTAGGTATAAGTAGTTTTATATAAAATTTTCATGTAAGTACTAGCTTCTTTCCATAGATGAGATATAATAGCTTCATTTTTTTAAGCCTTTATGAAGGTTATTGATATAGCCTCTAACCCACTTTTCAGCTGATTTTTGTGTTAAGACATCTCTTATTTTTGATACCTCATCTTCATCTACTTCGTCTTCATCTATGTTATCTTTATTTGCTTCATCATTATCTGCTTCATTATCGTCCGCTTTATTGCTATCTTTTAACTTTTTTAAGGTTTCTAGTATAATTTCAGATGATAGCTGATAACTATCATCATAGTTTATAAATCACGTACAGAGGCCAACAACGGTTTTCAGATAATAGTTAGCATCAATCTTCTTACTAAAACTTCTTACCACTTCTGGATACTCCATTTTGTTACCCACCCTTCTGATGAATCATTCTCAAGTATAACATATTCAAACTACTTGCCTGGTTCTGAGATTTTATAAAAATAAGGCTCGGGTGTTAGGCCCTTTTTTATAAGCCGTTTAGCATCTGCCTCTTCACAGGTATGTCTATCTCACATTCATGAAATGAAGTGCTGTACACTTTTATAATTTTTATCAGACCTTCACACAACAGTTTTAATCATTTTATTAAGATTTTTCTATGAGATATTATTTATAGTCTCTTTGAGCATATCTTCCATAATCTGATGCAAGATGCATATATTGTTTACTCTCATAGACTCTTCCATAATACGTTTTTCTGTTTTTCAGAAAATACTAGACTGCCCTGCTTTACAACCTCGACTTCCTGAATGAAAAGCTCTTTATTAAATTTTGGCTTGCTTTTATGTGAAATGCCATAGTATTTTTTCTTTTCAGTAAATACTACCAAAAATAAAACTTTCTCATATGCCATTTTGAGATAAGAAGATCCATTATCTTTCCTGAGAAAGCCATTAACTTCATCGTGAAGTTTCTCTATTTCTCCTATAGAGATTTTTAATATTCAAGACTAATATTCTTCACATTACCATAGTCATATGGGAGCTTTGCAATAGAAAGGGAGAAAACTCTAAAAAAAATTTTTTTTTGAGTTAATGATAAATCTGAACTTATTTTACAAAAAAAATCATAATTAGCTTAGAAAGTAAAAATTTAATTTTTTTAAAGTTTCCTCCTTTTCTATTGCAAAACTCCCATATAGCTCATCGTATTCCTGAAAACACCCTTCTAGGTAGACAAGATATAAGGAATCAGTGTCTCTATATTATATTTGAAAACCCCTACTTTAACGAAATCTGCAATAAGTTTGATATTTTTCTGCCCAGCCGATGTGATGTCAGCAAGTTCAAGCAAAAAAAAGGATCTACTATCTCCAGTAGTGCCATAAAATGTATTCATATATATCTTAAGAGCATATTATTTCGTGTCTAAGCAAGAGCAGTCGAAACAAATAGAATCATATTTTGCCATAAATTCATCTTTTGGTTTATCTTTAGATAAATAACAATATAAATTTTTAGTAAGCTTAGCATGTTTTTTCCCTTTGCATTTGCTAAATCCTTCTCAATAGCCCCTAACAATAATAAACCTTTACCTATTGAAGCTATTACCAGTTCTATGTCTTTCTTTTTTTTTTTAAAAGAACAAGACGTTTTTTTATCTCATTTCGTTTAGCAGATAAATATTCCAACACATTGACATAAAGACCCTTTTCTTCAGGAAGATTATTATGCTGAATAAACTATGTGAGAATATCCTGATCTTTGAATTTAAAACTAATTTTGTGAAGCCTTTTACCATTTTGTTTAGTATGCTTTTGAGATAAAATGATTTTATCAGGTGAAAGGTTGTATGTCAAGATAAGGCTTGGATATAAAAATGCAAAGTCTAAGCTGGTTACAGGGCATTTATTTTCGATCCCCTTTATTGGTGAGAAGACATAAGCTCTGGAACATTTTTCAGTTGCAGTTCTCTCTTCTAAAATTGTATTAGATAAGACCTTTCTTTGCCATACACTAGCACTTAAAAGATTGCAAACCTTCATACCTCTGCAAAATAATATGCATCAAATAATGGTAAGAAGGCTATAGTTACTAGCTCTCTATATTTATTGATTACATTGTGCTTAACCATTAACCGCTGACAGCTAAGAGCATCGATAATGCAGTATTTGACCACTTCACGTACCTGCTCAGCTGTTGTGACATTTTTTTTAATGCCCTTTCATAATATTTGTTCATGCAGTGAATAGATAAATCCACTTTGTTGTCAAGATTACATTCTCTTAAGTAATATGCGAAACTACTTTTTTTGGCTTTAGGATAGAATTCCTTAAAACAGGGTCAGGTATCAATAGCCATGCATCCGGAAATTTTAAGATTTCTAAAATAGAAGTTCCCATTATTTACTTTTATCATATTATACTGATATTGCTATTTTGTAATTTTTTCTAGGCAAACTGGCTTTAGTTTAAATGACATATGATTGAACATCCATTCGAGTACCCCTACTTTCTTCACAATAAATGACCAGTCATATTGCAAATCATTAAAGCCTATTTGTATATCCAAAGCTAAAAGTTTTCAATATAATGCAAATGTTTTTAGTAAATTAGTTTGGTCTTCACATACAACTGTAATCTATTATAGGTCTGACGCAGTTTTAACATTAACAAGACAAATTTGTTTTAATAATTTGGGATCATTTTTCCAATGAACTGTCATACAAATCATGAATACAACATCATCATCATATTTTGCATTAGGCACTTTGCCAGTTCTTCGTAAACTATATGTCTCTATATCTTATGTGAAAATGAGGGTATAATCTCATAAAAATGCTAAGGAAATTAATTGATTATTGTACTCATCATTGCTTATTAGTTTATAATTATCCACAGATATTCAGAAGAGATAAGCATTTACTAAGGGTATATATGAATAGTTGTGAAATACCGCCCAACTTGAAAAAGGTAATCTTTCTTCACGAGCTACTTTACGATGATAATATTTGGGAGTTAGATCATCAGAAGCAATATGAATACTAACTTCGTAAACTGCTTTTAATGCATTATTTTGATCAAAGTGGTTCCATGTTCTCATACAGATATATTCTTTCTTTTCTGTATGATATCCTTGAAGTAGGAAAGTGCGAATATTCTCAAGCCCAAATTTTGATGTGCTATTAAGAGTAGCGAATAAAATGCATGCTAATATAGTCTTAAATGAAGGGATCCCTCTAAGACCAGATGAAGAATAGTTTTCTGACACTTCAACATCAAAGAAGGGTTTGATGTCTGTAATATCTATGATTGCCTTTTACCCATTGATTAAAGTACCACTAATACGTAAAATATAGGTAGATACTTTATTTATATATTCGGCTTTATCACTCACATCCGTAGGCATAAAATGTATGGGTTGCTTTTCAGATAAGTATTGCTGAAGTATAGCAGTCATCCTGTTATCATATTCTGCTATGATCTCATTACATGATGGAATACTGGCTATAGACTCAGCGTTGTCATAACGGGCGAGTATTGAGGCAGTTTCATAATTTTGGTTAGAAGTAGTTAAGGTATATATACATCAATAGGTAAAACTTTATATACTCCAATATATTTTTGAAATGTTTAATTTATTTTTTTTTCGATGGATGCAAAAGAAATGTATAGCAGATTAATAAAAACATTGTAAATAAACATATTCTTAATATGTGATACTTAGGGTAGCCTTTTGCATAATCTATTATATAAATATTGGCAGAAGACTATCCTATCACTAGTATGTACTCAGGTATATGTATTTTGGGTAGTCTTCTTCAGAAATATTATATAAAATAATGGAAGAAGACTACCCTAACACTAGTATGTACTCAGATATTGGTACTTTTATTAGCATATTTATTTTTCTGATGGATGAAAAAAAGAGACGTATAGCAAGCTAGTAAGCTAATCGTAAAAAAAAGACAAGTAGATATGTATCTGAAAATGGAACATTCTTTGTAATCTATATATATAAAATTGGAAGAAAGCTCTATCTTTCTAGATATGTGTTTGGTTACAATATAGTTTTGCGTAAAACTTATTCGCTTAATTTCAGCCAACACTATTTCACAATTTCTGCCAGAACTTTGTGCATAATAACTTAGCATCCAAGCTGACATATAAGTAGACTGAAACTAGTGAATAAATGAAACCTCTCAGGCATCCTGCCAGTTCTCTACCAGTTCCTCAACAGTTTCATAACAGTTCCATAACACCATCATAGCACCATTATATTGCCAAGCTGGAACCTAAAATCACATATCCAAAAGATCGAATAGAGTTATATTATAGAGCTGGCCAAAATTAATCGCAAATCTACTGCACCACCTGTCGCCTCTTTTTTTTACACTATTTCAGTATTTATAAAGGCAACCAAATAGATGTAAATTCTCAATATAGAACTAGCAACCAAATAAGCACAGAGTGTCAGTATTCCCAACAAGAAACCAGGCATTCAAACAAGAATGAAAAGCCAATACCAACAATGTAGAATTTATAATGTAAACGAATTAGGAACAAGAAGAAAGCAGTAACTATTAGATCATGACATCAATATTAAATTAAAGCATCACCATCTACCGTTGGACTATGAAATCACTACCATAATATACAAGAAACGATTGAAATAATGATATAAATGCAAAGAAGCTACCCATATATAGGGTTATGAAGTTACTATCAGATTATAAATAGTAAGTTATGAAGTTACTACCAGATCGTGAAATTAGATTATGAAATCATTGCTATATTATGAAATCACTACTATATTATGAAGTTACCAGTAGACTATAAAGTTACCATTATATTATGAAGTTACCAGTAGATTATGAAATTACTTTTATGATCTAACTCAAGTTGCATGTGACTCAGCCTTTTATAATTTTTTATAAACTGGTCTGAAGTGTTTATAAAATTATGGACCAAAAACTATACAGACTGGTCCATTAACCAATTTGCAAACCAGTTTTTCAGAACTAATTCAAGTTTTAATCGCTAATTTTCTGTCCATATTTTTAAACTCAAATTTGTCTAATTTCATTAATTAATTTACTAAATTCAAATTGCATTTTTTAATAAAAAACTAAATTGATTTAAATATTTATAAATCAGGTTGGATGAAACTTTTTTGGTTAAATTATTAGGCAGTATTCAGCTTTTATACACACTCTTTATACACAGCTCTTTTTTGGTTAGATTTTTGTGCACAGCTTTTGCGCAGCCTTTATGCACAGTTTTTATGCACAGTCTTTGTGCACAGTTTTTATACATAGCTTTTGTCCATAACCCTTTAAAAGATATAAAAGGTATCTATTTTCACATTGGCTGAATTTTTTTCTTATCGTAAAAATGATTTCTCCTTAACAATTATTATAATTCCCTCATCACTCTTTTCGTTCTAAAAGCATAAATAGCAAGCGTAAAACTAAGCAAAATAATACAAGTAAATATAATTTTTTTACTTTGTACATTATAAAATATATTTTCATAAATTATTTTTTTAAGGTCATACTAAATAGGGTTCCGCAATTTGATTTGATATTTGAATATTTAATTTGATTAAATTCAAATCAAAGAATGATTTATTTGATCAAATCCAAATTATTGTTTGATTCGATTTGATCAAATTCAAATCAAGTATTTAAATATTTGATTTGATTTGAATCAATAGTAAAGCCATCTCCAAAGCTTCAGAAGTGGTTCTTACTAAGATAACCATAGTAAAAAGCACCTTCACAGCTTCGGAAATGCCTTTTTACTAAGAAAACTATAGTAAAAATGCCTTTGTAGCTTCAAAAATGCCTTTTTATTAAGAAAAACATAGTAAAAAAATGCCTTCGCAGCTTCGGAGATGTTATTTTACTAAAAAAAATATAGTAGAAACGCTATTTTAATAAGAAAACATAGTAAAAAATGCCTTCGCAGCTTCAGACACATTTTTACTAAAAAACTTAGTAAAAAACATGTCTGCAGCTTCAGAAACGTTTTTTTACTAATAAAATTATTATGAAGCCAAGATGGCGGTTATTACTAAGTTTTCTTAGTAAAACCGAAGCTGCTATGGCGATTATTACTAAGTTTTCTTAGTAAAACTGAAACTGTGAAGTTATTTTACTAAGTTTAATAGTAAAAATTCACTTGTTACTAAACTTACTTTGTAAAAGCTATTTTTGAAATTTTTTAGTGCAATTACTAATAATTTTCTTAATTAAAACTTTAGAATAACTTTATTTTAATATATTATTGTAAAATTAAAAAAAAATTATATTCAATTCGATTCAATTCGATCAAATATTTGATTTTATTTGATTTGATTTGACAAATATTTGAATTAATTTGATTTGATTCGATCAAATTCAAATCAATTCAAATTGATTCGATCAAATATTTGAGTTGAATTTAATTCAATTTAATTCAATTTGAATAAATCAAATCAAATTCAAATTGCTTAAATATTTGATTTGATTCGATTTTGAGGAACCCTAATACTAAAAAGATAGCATCCAAAAAAATACTACCAAAACAGATAATAATTGAAGGGTCAGAAAGTTCTGCTGACGAATTTTTAGATTTAAATAATAATGAGCAAAGATTTGATGATTTAGATGAACCCTTAATTATTTTAGGTATTTTTGAAAATTATTTAAAACCTGCAATTTTGGTTAAATTAAATTTTTAATGACTGCTTTCTTTAATTTTTATTTTATTTATAAGATAAATCAATTGAAATTTCGAAGAAAGTTACACCGTCACCATAAAATCTTCCAGAAGACCTTGAACAATTTTCTAATACTTTGGAAATTTGTACGTGATTGGTAAAACGTTCTCATATATTACAATTAGCCAATCAAATGTTGGATGCAAAAAAAGCTTTACCAGACTTCGTTTCTGATATCTTCAGTTCTAATGGCATTAGTCCTCTTTCTATTGGAGGTTCTGCTGTGAGTTCTATCAGGATTTCTGCTAGGAAATCCAGAAGATTCTCAGATGGTTTTTCTGGTTGTGATACTTCTTCTGGTAATAGCAATAATGATGTAAGAATTTACTCACATTTTTTATTTTAATTCTTTTATAAATTATAATTAAAATATAACAATTTTAAATTCTTTAGAACAAAAAATATTGTCTTTGGGATGAAACAATCAAATGTTTGTTTCTCTGTGCTAGAAACCCATTTAATGAAGCTATAGATAATTTGATAAAAAAATTTTTATCATCAAAATTTATAACGATCAAGCGCAACATATGTTAAAATGTATAAAAAGCTCATTTTCTGATTTTCAAAACAAATATAACAATCATATGGGGCCTTTGCAATAGAAAGGGGGAAACTGCCAGAAAAATTAATTTTACTTTTATATGCCAAATATGATTTTTAGGCTGAAATATGTTCAAATTTAGCATTAACTCATTTTTGATTTTTCCGGCAATTTCTCCCCTTTCTATTGCAAAGGCCCCATATTATAAAGCTTATACATCAAAAATATTTTTAATGTGAAGTAATGTATAAGGTTTACAGTTTGTAAATTTATGGGTATATTATAGCATAAGTTTACGTAAAATTTACATTTTTGTTATAATTCTTCGTAAGATTTACGATCTGTGATATTTAAGCTATATTACGGTCAAAATTCTTTGAATGATTTATGGTCTATAAAGTTTGTGTAATACTACAGTCAAAATACTTACAGTCTATAAAGTTTGTGTGAGATGACGGTCGAAATACTTCAAAATGTTTATGGTCTATAATATTTGCGTAATACTACGGTCGAAATACTTATAGTCTATAAAGTTTGCGTAAGATGTTAGTCGAAGTACTTCAAAATGTTTACGATCTATAATATTTGTGTAATACTACGGTCACAAGGTTATAGTACATAATTATTAAACCATTAAATTTCAGATTTACTTAAGAAAATTTTAAGCATTGAAAAATTTTTTTAATTATGACCATCAGATTCAAGTTTATTAAGCAATAATAATACAAAATAAATATTAGTCAATAAACTTTATTTTTTTTCATTTTGATAGTGATGATGACCTTGGAGGAGAAGATAC